TTGCAAAAAATTTTTTCAAGTTGCTCTATATTTAACCAACTAACAATTCATTAGCTTCTGAACAGAGTGATTTCCCCTTATTTTGGTCTCTCTCTTTAGGAGGCTTTTCCTGACCGGTTTATCGAGTGCTTCATCGCCGAGCAGAACCTGGTTGGAGTGGGAATCGGTTGTGGCACCAGAGGTAGAACCGTACCCTTCATCTCCACATTTGCCTGTTTCCTGACCAGGGCCTTTGACCAGATCAGAATGGGAGCCATCTCTCAGACTAATGCCAACTTTGTGGGCTCTCACTCCGGGGTTTCTATTGGTTAGTGGTATTTTGACCATATGAATTTTACAGGCATTGAGGACCAAAATTTTTAAAATCAACAAGACTGATAAATTGATGCATTCACTCATAATGAATTGTAGCAATTTAAGATTATAAATTTATTTGTGATAATCAGTGAAGGGCTGTGAAAATGGGCATGATATCACTTTAGACCTCCAGTCTTTAAAAATACCCAAAACATAAACCATGATTTACAATGTAATTACTGGTACATTGGATTTTATTTTATGATCTAGATTAAAATCTCTTGAATAAACTCAGTTGTAGGTCTAGATTAATAATGAAATTGGGACATGAAGTTGCCTTTCACTTTGTCCTCACAAACAATAAGGTCCACTTTCACTTTATCCCCACACAGGTGAAGATGGTCCCTCCCAGATGGCACTAGAAGACCTGGCCATGTTCCGTACTATCCCCGGGTCCACCGTCTTCTACCCCAGCGATGCGGTGTCAACAGAGAGGGCCATGGAGCTGGCCGCTAACACCCCGGGTGTCTGCTTCATCAGAACCAGCCGTCCCAACACCCCCATTATCTACAGTGCTGACGATAACCTACAGATAGGAAAAGCAAGGGTAAGTATACATTTGTTATGGAAACAACGATATTAAGCAGGTATTTTAAAGGGGCATAGAGTAAGATTTGAAGTTAATATTTTGTCAAATTTTTTGTATAATATCATGACTTATATGTTGTTATAGCATTTCACATGGAAATATAATAAAAAAAACTACTTGCATCTTGAAATTTTTGAAACTAGGAATTTTGTGACGCATTGGATTGACAAATATATTCATTTTCATAAAGTAAACTTTTATCCTTAATGAGAAATGTTAAAACTATAATCCAGAAAATTCAGATAGAAGTGTGAGAAAGCAAAACCAACTCACCAGTATTGTCAGTCTGTGCTCAGTAATGTGAACAGAGTTTTACTAATTGAACACACCCGTCAAACATAAACTATTTTTGTAAACAGAGCACAAGCTCTGTTATCGTTAATGATTAGTTGTTAATGCCATGAACTTTAAAAAATTCATTCATTGTCCAATCAATTCTGTTTGTAGGTGGTCCGTAGTAGTGACAGTGACAAAGTGACTGTGATTGGCTGCTGCGTGACCTTGTTTGAGGCCCTGAAGGCCGCAGACAAACTCGCTGTGGATGGAGTCAACATCCGAGTTATTGACCCCTTCACCATTAAACCAATCGATGCAGAACTGATCCGAAAGAACGCCAAAGAAACCGGAGGAAAGATCATAACTGTGGAGGACCATTACCCTGAAGGTAAGCTGACCAAAATTTATCATCCAAGCTGTTAAAATTGTTCATTCAGAACGTAAAAGCATTGTGAGAGATGCTAATGAACTGGTCACAAGCATTGTTAATGAAATCATGTGTTATTAGATGTATTGAAAAAGCAAATATAAGTAATATTCCTCCATATCTGGATTTATCAGAGTGGAACTACCAACCACTTTTTCTGTAAACCGTATATTTTAACCTCAATCTTTGAAACTTTTTCATATCTCTGTTTCTTTCTCATCTCTAATTTGGATGAGAAGGTTTGACCTTTCCTGATTAATATTTGTAACTAGGTGATACATTCCAGACTATTTTTGTTTGCTTTATTACATTCGCCTAACTGTACGTAATTATCCTCCATTTCTAGGAGGTCTAGGGGAGGCAGTCTGCTCAGCCGTGGCGTGTTGTCGAGACATCACCGTTAAGAAGCTCGCTGTTCAGGAAGTCCCGAGATCTGGCAAGAGTGCTGAACTCCTGGAGAAATACGGAATCAGCGCAAACTGCATCGTCAAGGCCGTCAACCAAATTCTGTCCCAGTAAAATGGTGCTGTAGTACACAAACTCTCCAAATAAAAATGCTAGATAGACCTTTATCAAATTTTATCACATGTACGATGACTTGTACTAGTTTTTTTTCTTGTACTGATATGTGTATCTCCTTGATTATTTGATAATTTAAATAATGTTGTTTGCCAGATAAGCATTTTCTTGTTAAATGATTTGAGTGAGCTAGTGCTATCTTTGTATCTCAGGACAGTTGTTGATCAACAGATGTAGTGTTTGTTTTTGCAAATGCTTTTGTCCAAAAACAAAGAAATAAAATTTACTCAATGAATATGCTGTTTGTTCTTTGACAATTTATCAATTTATGATTTCTGGAGTGATAAAATCTTTGTCTCTGTGGACGAGATTTTATGTCCTTTTCTTGTCTCTATTTGTCCCAATCTAATTAAAATTAGATGTTAGATCCGCTCGCATACTCGCTACACTAACATCTAACAACATCCCATAGAGGGTCACATCAGAGGTCAAATTCTATCAACCAATCAAATTGTTGCTTGCAAAATCATCGTATATTTGATGAAGCAAGTAAGTCTAGAGTTGTTCCGAATTTGACCTTTGACGTGACCCTCTATGGGATGTTGTTAGATGTTAGTGTATAGGGAGTATGCGAGCGGATCTAACATCTAATTTTAATTAGATTGTATTTGTCCCGTTCCGCATGTGATTTTTAGGTCACCCGAGTAAACGCAGGTGATCTATTGCTATCCGTTTTCGTCCGTCGTCGTTCGTTAACATTGGAACATTTTCAGCTTCTTCTCAGAAACCACTGAACCAATTTCAACCAATTTTGGCATATAGCATCTATGGGTGAAGGGGAACAAAAATTGTGAATTTTCATGGTCCTTGCCCCCCCCGGGGCCTGGGGCCAAAACCACTTAAATTATTGCAATCTTTAAAAATCTTCTTCTTTACTCCTGGACATCAAGCAGTCAAACTTTTGGCATGATTGTTATCAGCATTGAGTCCTCTACCAAAATTGTGAAATTCATGGCCCCATGGTCAGGGGTTCTAGTGCTAGGGCGGGGCTATATTGATTATACAAAAATATATAGTGAAAAATGCATGTATTCTTTGAAAATCTTCTTTTCTGCTTCTGGGTATTAAAGCAATATGAGTTGTATCTTCAAAAAATTTATTTTTCTGGTAAAATGTGCTATTATGATCAGTTTGTATGTAATTTAAACCCCTATGACCAATAAGCCCAAAATAAAGTTTTAAAATGTTTCAGAAGAAATATTTCTGTACAACCAAACATAGAGTTTTATATTACAAATCAATATTGTACAGGACGATAATAATTCAATTTTGCTTCAATCAAAGCTAATAAAAAAATTTCCATCGCGAATATGAACAACAGAAGTTTATAAATGATTTATTTTTCTGTCATTTAAGTAGTTAATCACAAATTTGCAATAAAAATTTCCGATGTTAAACGTGTAGCTCATATTGCTTTAAAGCAATATGAGCTGCATTTTTAAGGATTTCATTTTGTCGAAAAAATGTATTATTATGAAAAAAAATTATGTAAAATTAAACTTTTATGTTCAATTAGACTAAAATAACATACTAAATTGTTTCGGAGGAAAGACTTCAGTCTGTAAAATCAACTATATAGCATTATTTAAGAAATCAATATTGTACAGGACGACAATAATGAAATTTTTCTTCAATCGTTGCTTAAAATAAAAAGTTCTTCCTGCGCAAATATGAACAACAGAAGATTATAACTATTCTTTTTCTCTGTTCTTGAAATAGTTATTTCCAGTTTCGCAATAAAAATTTCCGACATCAAAGTTGCAGCTCATATTGCTTTAAATAAACTAAGTACATAGTTATGATGAGCAAGAGTGCATCTACCAAAATTGTGAATTATATGGCCCCAGGGTCAAGGGTTCTTGTGTTAGGGTGGGGCTCCATTGAATATATAGTGAAAATGCATTAATTCTTTGAAATCTTCTCTGCTCCTGAGTATTAAATAAACTAACTTAGTACATAGTTACTATAATGAGCAAGAGTGCCTCTTCTAAAATTGTGAATTTTATGGCCCCAGGGTCAGGGGTTCTGGTGTTAGGGCAGTGCTCTATTGATTATATAGTGAAATGCAGTAATTCTTTGAAAATCTTCCTCTCTGCTCCAGGGTAATAAGCATATGAACTACCTATATAGTTATGATGTGCAGGGGTTCTTCTTCCAGAATTGTGAATTTCCAGGCCCCTGGGTCAGGGATACCATGGTGGTGGTGGGGGGGGGGGGAGCTTTACTTATATACTAAAAACGAATTGTTTGAAATCTGCTCCTTGGTATTAATCAAACATTTTTGATAAGCAAGTGTGCCTTTTCAAAAATTGTGCAATGTGTGAACCTAGGGTCAGGGGTTCATGTGTGGTTGGAGCACTTCTGATTATTGCTTAATATTTGATTATTGCTGAATATTACTGATTAGTTGATATGCATTTTTTGTTCCCCTACCCTGCCTATGGGTATTAAGGAGGCTAAGTAACCAAACTAAGCAATTGCTAAGTTCATAGTTATGATTAGCAATGGTGCCAGCCTCTTTCAAAATTGTGAATGCCATAGCATCTACCTTAAAACATGAACCAAATCCTATCATTTGAAAGTTGTTGCATGATTCTCAGGTGACTTATAAGGCCCATGGGCTTGTTTTTTTTTTTTCACTGCACCTATTGATGAACCAGTACATTGAGAAAGAAATAAAGTACATTAACTATTAGTGATTTTATCACAAAGACATTGGAGTTGTAAATATTACTCAGTCTCTATAATATATTATATAAAGAATAAGAACAAAATCGCACTGGATTAATGTATAAGTGACTTGGGTTTTCAATTGCAGTTCTGAAAAGTACATTAATTAAGAGATGCCTTCCAAATCTAATCCCACTATCAGCTTTCTAGCTGACCAATCTTATACTTCTATACACTGAGTTATTATACTATCTCAGACTCATGATAAATGTACACTGCACTAACTAAAGGTTGCTTAATGGTGAATAATTGATGAATCCTTAAGATGACTCAAATCTTTCTTGAACTAGCTCAAACTTTGTGTTTTTAAGCAAATTGAGAAATCATGGAAAATAGTAATGGAAATAACCTTACAAATTTTAATAACTTTATGCTTGAATTTCATTTCCCCAACGAAAATGGAATAGAGAAATGCATAGAAAGACAGTCATTTCCATAGATTCTTTTGTTAATTCACTGCTCTTTGACTTTATCACAGTCTTTAGTTTAGTCCATTTAGCCTGCATGGCTTGCCTCTGGATGTTCTGCAGAATCATCTTTAACATGGAGTACATGTAGGTCTTTTCAAGTCTTAGCCTCAGGAGGTTCTCTCAGCTTAACACATCTCTGTAAGGTTTTTCTGTTTCAAAATCTAGATTCTGTATCTCTTGTAAACCCTGAAAAATGCATGATAACAGAAATATTCAACCAACAGGCAGAACCCAGAAAAAAGTTAACATACCTTTTTCTTTCCATTTGTTTCAAGACTATATACAGTAATACACACATACTGTACAAGTGGAAATTTTAGCGAGATGCAAATTAAGTGATTTGTCATTAAAAATTGGTATTTTAATTTTAGTGAAATGTAATTTTAACTATTCTAAAATGCTCACTTTAAGAAGTTTCCACAAATAAAACACAATTAAAGTTTAGCGATCGATATACAAATTTAGCAATCTTAGCACCCTGGCTTATAACCGCCGAAATGAAATCCTGACTCGCTAAAGATTCTGCTTATAGGGTATAACAATGGTTAGCTTACCTGTAAAACAAGCTTGATATGGGCCTTTATTTTGGCAGCGTCTTTGGTGTGGACGTCAATCTTGTCGTTTATTATGGAGACTTTCTTGTCAATAAAGCTCAGGGCCTCATCATGTGTCATTTCCAGGAAAAATCCATAACCCACACTCACAAAAATCATAGAGGCATCTGGACTAAAACAAAAAAAAATTCAAAATGCAGGTCAATTGATTTTTAAGAAATTTCTCTTCTGGCATTTATCAGAAAGAATTATATGGTTATAAAATTTAACTAAGAGTGTATCCCTAGTTTAAACATTATTACATCACACTTTATAGTAAAAACATGAACTTTAATTCATTCAAACTTACACATGTGCTTGAACATAGAAGTTACAACCTAGATCCACTTGAGTTTTCAGACCTTCTGTTTTGTAATCTGATTCCTGAAGCAAAGAAAATAAGTACACAGGATGGTTTGATTAAACTTATTTTTTTAAAAAAAGCAACCAATTAAAATACATTTTAAAAAACTTGGAATGGTCCAAAATATAGGCAACCAAGCGCCTTAATTAATTTTCTCTTCATCTTTGTAGTTTTTCAATTTATATGGACAACATATATCAGCCTGGATAGCTTAGTGGATAGAGTACTTGAATAATAATGCAATGGTCATGGCCAGGGTTAAATTAACTTCTGTCAAGCTGAATTATAAGTTAGCCCTAGTGGACCCCAAGTGAACTCGGAGAGGGTTCATTCTACCTATTCCCACTTTTTGAAAATCGGGTAGAAAAAGGTAAGATTTTATGTGGGAATAGGTGGAATTTTTGTGTAAGCAAATGATTAATTAAAGAGCAGATGTAACTAGTCTAGTTACTTTAACAACAAATTAACTATCTAAACATCTATTGTTATTTGCAAGTGGGAATAGGTGGAATTGAGATTTTTAAAAAGTGGGAATAGGTAGAAGACCTTTGGGGAGTACACCTGGTGTGCGCTTTGATTTTGCTTTCTCTTTGGTTATGTCCGGTCAGTACGTATACTGTAAAGGCATGAGAGGTTTAGAAAGTCCTACTACATGTATGCATATTCTTCTGGACAGTTAGTCTGGACAAAAAAATTTAAATACTGATGTTTTCCTTCACATTCTCTCTATACTTTTATCTTGTGTGGCTGTCAGCCGGGATCGATTGCCAGTGGCCAGATTGCCCAGTTGGTAGAGCACCTGACCCGAGTTTCAGGGGGCCTGGGTTTGAATCACGGTCTGGTCCGCTGCATTTTCTCCTCTCCCATTACATTTGGTGCTGTGCCATGCCCTGGAACTGAAAGGTGAGAAGCCTGTCAGGGATGAGCCTGGGTTGGGGTCTTTGGAGGTCCAAAGACCTTTAAGGAGGGAGGAATGTGGCGGTCAGCCGGGTTTTGATTGCCGATGGCCAGATAGCTCAGTTGGTAGAGCACCTGACCGGAGTTTCAGGGGGCCCGGGTTCGAATCCTGGTCTGGTCTGCTGCATTTTCTCCTATCCCGTTACAATTGTATTAGTGTGTACACTGGGCCTAACATCGGTGGATGACATATACCTTTACTCTTTCGATGACAGTCTTAAGCTGTAAATATTCTGCTACTTCCCCATATAATTTGTCCCTCTGATCTAATACTTGACTGAAAATAGAAAAAAAATGCTTATTTGCCTGCAGCTGATTCCCAGGTTTTGTTATGCACTTTTTGTTATTATAAATCAACTGACTAATAGTAATACGTTAATGTCATTCAAAATTAAATATTTATGAACGAAAATTTAGCATTTACACTACCTTAGGTCTGTCTTCAATCTTTCATTTAGAAACTGCTCATATTGCTCAACTTTTGATGGGATGCTTGCATCACACATGCTGGTATCGAAAGTAAATCAGAGTAGCGTCCCTTGTTTTACGACAATCAAACTGCACTTATAACCTTTTCAATTTTTTGCACATATCTTAAAATTTTTGTTGAAAAAAATTATGTTTTGAATGAAAAAAATTCTGTAAATTAATGTTAAATTAGCTTATTCAACCTTTACCGACCATGTTACCGTCAAGGAGACATTTCCGGTCTTAGAAATGGCCGAGCTGCTCTTAGACTCGGACATCCGAATTTGGGTGTTTTTACCCATTGTATTGATCACATTTTTCACTGGAATCATAAAACACTATGTAACAATACTTTTATCATCAGAAAAGAAGACTGAGCTACAGCAAGTTACTGATAGGTGAGCATAAATATGAAATTATATACTTTCGAATTTCCTCAGTCTTCAAAGTGGTCTTACTTGAATATAGCTGCAGATCTGTCGCGTTAAAGTTTTATGTATATGTCTTTGACCATAACGCTACAGATCGCGTAGTGCAGAAAAAGTGCAATTTACGGCGCAATATTTTTTGCGCTCTTTTGGGGAGAATTTCTCCACTTTCTAGCTTTGGTCAATCAACTACCTTTCACTCCCTAATTCTAGACACATTCTGTAGCCAACATGTATAGTTTATCCACCTCCCAGCCATTTATAGTTGTCTCTACAGGCAATAAACTCACTGGATATGAATTTTCAGTAATCTAAAAAATAATTATAATCAACTTTTTCAAGCGAGTTTATCACTTGTAGAGACGAGTATAAAGGGTTGGGAGATGGATAAAATATACAGATTAATGAAATAATGTGTCTAGAATTAGGGAGTGAAAGGTTGTTGATCGAACGATGCTGGAAAGTGGAGAAATTCTCCCCAAAAGAGCGCAAAAAATATTGCGCCGTAAATTGCACCTTTTTTGTACTACGGGATCTGTAGCGTTATGGTAAAAAACAAATATATAAAACCTTAACGCTACAGATCTGCAGCTAACTTGAATAGAGATTAAACCAGCAGTTTTTAACAAATGTTTTAAGCAGCTGAACTACAGATTGAAAGAAAGGCTACTTCATTAGCTGATATTTGTTGAAGTCTAATATAGGATGCACATAATAATGGGATAATGATGAAAGACTATCCCCCTAATAAATTTTCTGCTAAGCTCACATTCAACAAAGATATTTCATAAGTTCGTTTTAGCAGTAATGTGAATGGGGCCAGTTCATTATATATTGGATTCCTGACCTATAGGCTGCATGATGAATTCTACCCGTTTGCTTGTTACACTTTGCAACCAGTAATATTAGTTATTTTGCGAGAGTTTTATCAATTCTGAATTTTAATTTATGGAAAATTTTTACACGTCCAGTAGGGTTGTCACCATTACATAATTTTTCGGGTTGGTTCTTATTTTTTTTAGGTTCGGTTGTTGGTTTTTCATTTCGGGTCTATAATAGAATAAAAACGGGTATGTCTTTTAACCACAATGAACCACAAGGAACCACAATGAACCACAATGAAACCACAATGAAACCACAAGGAACCACAAGGACATCTTAATTTGTCTCTAAAGTTTACTCTGTAATTCCACTGTACAAAAATCATCCTATACACTCATGATATCTGACAGAATTCATATTTTAAGGTAAAAACATTTTCTTTGTACATAACATATTTAAATACATATAACTATTCTATTTGTATATTTCATTCAGAGTCGATTAAAATATTAACTGAAAAACTTGAAGTACATTGTAATGGCAATATACATGAAACTTTTAAATACTGATGTCAATTATCTGAAGTTTGCATCAAAGGTGCCTGTCCCATCTTCCATGCAATTTAAGGTCAGACGAGATGTTCCTCAAATTATGTTTTGTATATCTTCGTAATGTATGAAAAATGTTCAAAATTTTAATAACATTATGATTTCTAAAGCAGTTTCTAAACGTTTTTAAAATATCCAAACACTTAAAACTTTGAAATTCGAAAATTATTTTTCTTCCCCAAAGGATTATATAAGAAAAACTACCCCTGGTATCTCGCAGAAATGCCTGGTAAGGTACCTCAATTTTTTGTGAGTAAACATGTTTAAGTAGCAATACTTCAATGACAAACTCTTAGAAAAATTTATCTATTATTAAGGAACGTCTCGTCTGTCCTTAAAAAAAAAAAAAAAAAAGAGTCCCGGGCCTGCCTAAATGAGAAAAATCAAAAGTTCCTAAAAAGTCCAAACACATTATAATGGGGAATGCGCAGCATTCCTTGTCCATGTAAGTAAGCCCTCAATACTCAATACTTATTTAGTGCAGCTATTGTTACAGTTTTTAAAAAGTTAATAATTTAATACCTGGTCTCCAGAGTTCTTTATCCTTTTAATTTAAATTTTACATATTTTGTAGTAGACTAAATGCATTTTTAGCTCACCTCAACGAAGTTGGGGGGAGCTTATGTGATACCCTCGGCGTCGGTGTAAAATTTAATTAAGATGTCCTTGTGGTTTCCTTGTGGTTTCCTTGTGGTTCATTGTGGTTTCATTGTGGTTCATTGTGGTTCATTGTGGTTTCATTGTGGTTCATTGTGGTTCCTTGTGGTTCATTGTGGTTAAAAGACGTACCCAATAAAAACTCATGACTTAATTGCCAATGAATTATATTCAACAAAAATTATATATTTTTTTGAAATCTAAGAAACATAGTGACTGGTTTGAATAAGTTTCATAACAAGAAAAATAATCGAGCCAAATGATTCAAATCACATTACCATTTTCAATAGTTATTTACTATTGAACCTTCCGTTTTAGAGTCCATTTTTACGGTAAAACCTACTCTATTGTACATATCGGAATCGAACCAAATTCCGGAAAAACAGAAACAAACCCAACCCAAATTAATTGTTCCGTGGTTCCGGATCATTTTGGGTACCCCTGACAGCCATAACGTTCAGCCAGGTTTCAATATGTGCAAATCTTTTTGCCCATGACTAAATTTGTGAGTCTAAAAACTGTCTTGGGCGGTCAGGCGCACTGTTATTTCAAACACTGCTGATGCCTTTATTACCAATTGATCTTCTTTCAAAAAAGTTTGATATCTCTCATTTTCTCTGCAAAGTGGAGGGTACATGTTGGAACAGTATTAGTGTAACTCAACAAAATAGCCCTACTCGTGCATCACATCGCTGTAATTATTTTTTAAACAATAAGAAGATAATAGTATGTAATATTTTATCTTTTTTCAATTTTCAGTCATGTACTGATACGGAGCAGAATCTTAAGAGAAAATGGAAAATTCATCACAAAACAGGTACAAAGTACAGATACATTTATTATTAAAAAAAAAAATATATCCAAAATTAAAAACAAGTTTTGGTAAGCTACAGCCTATAACTGACATGAAGGAAGTGAAGCACTGCAATGTTTTAGAATATTAAAATCCAAATGAATGATTATATTTTTTAGGGCTTTTTAATGAGGAAAAGCTTTTTCAATGCAGAAAATTCAGGATATTTTAAAACAGAAAAGAGGGAATCTACTGCCAAAAATCCTATGACAGGTACAGTGTAGATTTGTTATGGTCATGAATCAAACTTGTTCATGAAATCAAGAAGTGAATTTGTTATATACAAACATGTGTGAAATTGCCTTTTATGTTTGACAGAAGTAAAAAAAAAAATTCAAATCCTCTTTTGCAAAAGTCCCTTTAAGTTGAAAATGAGTGAGGATGAAATTAACTGGTATTTTTGATATTAAAAAGTGGTTATTTAAGGATAGAAGAATTATAAAATTATACTTCTTAATGTATATGAAAATTTTAGGTATTTTAACCATGTTGATATTTGAATTTATAAATTGATTTTTTACATACATGTAAATGCTATTGTTTAAATTCAAATATATGTGATGTACTTATATAAGAATAAAAGGTGCTTACCTTTTTCTTTATTTGCTGATTTGTAGACCCTTCAATGATGACAGACATGCTGAAGGGAAATGTCACCAATGTGTTACCTATGATCATTATAGGAGGATGGATTAACTGGGCATTTTCAGGGTTCTTAACAAGTAAGTACTCTGATTATATTTTGTATTAATACATACTGGTACCCTCTATTAACTGTATAACCATACATAGAAATGGATGTTGAAGTTTAGTTAATCAAACAGGGAAAAATATGCTTTATTTATTTTAATAAAATGTTACTATTAAAACCAAGCAAAGATGCGGTTGACATATGCTTTGTTTGTGTTTTACTATAGCCAAAGTTCCATTTCCGCTTACTCTACGATTCAAGCCCATGTTACAGAGAGGGGTGGAGCTGGCATCATTAGACGCTTCATGGTAAAAAGACCAAGTTTAACTTCTTCATTAACTTACACTTTTAAGATCTTACAGCATTTCATTTTATTTAAGAAAATGACTTTAGAAATTGCAATTCTGTCAATTTTAAACTTTATATATTGTTGTTACATGTACTACAATAACTACATGTACTCATGCTAAAATGTGATTTAAATTTTATTTTTAAGGGTTAGTTCAGCATCCTGGTATTTCCTCAATGTCTTTGGTTTGAGAAGTTTATATACACTTATATTAGGACAGGATAATTGTAAGTTGCATTGTTGTTTCAATGTTGTCTGCAAATTAAATAAAAATCAATGGAAAAAAATATTTTTTTTTAATTATAAAAATAAAAAAGGACAAATATACAGCACAAACAAGATTTTTCTGTGAAATATTAATTTTACATAAACTATATAAAAAATTAAGATATGTACAGTGTATATTTTAGATTAAAATTTAAAGGCAATTTTCATATTATTACATAGTTTTGCATTTTGATAAAGAATATCAATCAATTCATTATTTAGTGTGTTCTTTTCATTCACGACCGATTATTATTTTTCCAGCGGCTGATCAGACCAAAGCCATGCAGGAGCAGATGTCGGGGGCGGGGATGATGACTCCTCCTGATCCAATGAAAGCCTTCAAAGCGGAGTGGGAGGCGCTAGAGGTGTGTAACCACCAATGGGTTCTTCAGGGGGTGGAGGAAGATTTGATTGACGGGCCAGTGCAACCAGAGACAATTTACATCAAAAACAAATATGCATAGTCAATATCACTTTACAAATAGTTCCTAAAAGGGACATTGTTGAAGAAGATCTTATTTCATAGAATCTGACACCTTGAGGTTGTCTTTTTGTTGTTTGTTGTAGCGATGTATCCCTCAACCATTTCATATTCATTGGAAATCTCTTCACTTGATGGTATTGGTTGAATACTGGTTAAAAAAGGAGATAAATTAGGCCTAGAAAAAAAATATGCTTGTTTCCGCTTTCCCGACTGACCCTAATTTATAGTGCCGACCCTAAATATTTTTTTAATGCTTTTGTCCCATGATGTGCAAGATTTCAACCAGGGAATTATAGCCTCCAACTTTGCAAGCTTTTCAAGACAGAAAGAAGTTTGGGTCACCTTTCTATTGTAAGTTAAGTCACAGTAATGCTTGAAAACACCATTTCTTTTGTCATTAATGTTACTTCTATACACGTTTTGATTAAAGAAGCAAAAAAATTTTTTTCAAAAAAAAAAAAATTGCCTACCTACCTACCCTATATTTTTTCAGCCTGAAAGCGGAAACAAACATATTTTTTTTTCTAGGCCTTACGAAGATTCTGTTATGTTAAAGATATTTATTAAACATTTTATAAGTATTTTTAAGAAAGTTTTAAGTTCAAATTCTACAAGGCCTTGGCATTTACTTTCCACACAGTGGAAAGCAAGACAGAAACACTAGTTGTACATGAGATGTATGAGAAGACATTGTCTACATCAAATTGTAAGACTGATTTATAAAATCTTTGTCAACCAACAAGCAGTTAATTTTGTCAAATACATGTTATTTGTGGTAATCAGAGGTGTTTGATGATAAGTATTAAAGAAATCTTGATCAAATTTCTCATGGATTTATTGTCTTGATCTTATTTTTATACATGTATATTGCATGAACCCGTACTGTGGAGTCATTTTAATTCGTTGGGATCAATGTTTTGATTAGCCAAATATTTTTGGTTGATGGGGACATTATTTCTTGGGTAAGTTGTATATTCAGATATTCAATGGACCACGAAATCAATGAACATTGGTCCCCATTGGGCAATGATGATTTCACAGGATTTGTTTTTGACATGAAAGGCACAGAGTCCAAAAAAGTGCAGAATTTAAAACAACAGTGAATATTTAAACTGAGAGTCGGGCAGGATTCATCACCAGTGGTCAGATAGCTTTCCAGTTTATGTGATTAATGAATAAGGGGCCCTCGGTTCACACCCTGGTCTGGTCTGTTGCATTTTTATACGCCCGTCTTCAGACGGGACGTATTATGTTATAGGCTTCATGTCCGTCCGTCCGTCCGTCTGTCCACTCGTGTCCGGCTCATAACTTCAATACTATTAGGGCTAGGACTATCAAACTTTGTCAACTGGTACTTCTTGGGTAGACGGTGTGTCGCGCACAAAAAGTAAGTCACTCTGACCTTTAATAAAGATGCTATGTCCAAATAAGGAAAAATCCTGTCCGGCTCATAACTAGAAAACTATTAGACCTAGAGCTATCAAACTTGGCAAAAGTATACATCTTACGTAGAAGGTGTGTCGCGGCCTATTTCAAGGTCACTGTGACTTTTAATTTAAGTGAAATTTTTTAAAAAACTAATTCTTTTAAATTTTCCATTTCATAATCCTAAAAATGTAAAATTATAGTTGTATCCTTGTTAAAAAATGTTAAATCAAGTAAAAAACTTATTTTTTCATCATATACTTTACAGCAATCTGTAAGAAATGTTAATGTTATAAGAGGAATGCAGTTTGTCCCATGGGCATAATTAACAAGCACTGGTCAAGAAGAATTTTGATAGCAGAAATTTAGAGAGAAATTAATGAGTTTATTGTCAAGAGCTAACTGGAAGACCATCTCTGACCATGCAGCTATTGTCTCTTGGGAGTTGTGCAAAAAGAAATTGCCTCATAGTTGCTTGTGTTAATTAAGAGTTCTTGATGGCTAGCTCAGATAAAGATCTTTCAATTAATTATTTGGTGGTAGTAATGTAATTAAAACAAATTGATGTTTTAAAATACAGTATATGATTAAAACTAAAATAATATTGTATGATATAATTAAAACTAATTATACATGTGTACATTAAAAAAAATACATTTCAACTTTTATATATTTCAACAAATTGCAGAGTGCCATGTCTTATAAAATTTTATAGTCTAAAGAATAATTTATTTTTGATGTTTTTTAGACTGTAGCATTTTCAATCAATCATAAAATATGCAATAAAAAAGCTGCATATGGATATCTGTTAAGCTCTAACTCAGCCAGTTTAGAATTATATGATGTATTATTTCTTATAATTATTGCCTAAACTCTTAAAGATGTATGTACAATATTTTAAAAATGATAAGGAATGAAAATTAGATAATTGAAGTGTCAATCTTGTAATCTTGAACTTGGTAATCAAGGTTACCTGATTTTCCTGCACTCTAATTACCAATTTATGATTATTGAACAAAATTTGATGGAACAAAATTTGACGGGCGTATCATGCTGTGGCGGGGCACTTTATTCTCTTCTTTGGTTACATTCGATGTCATGCCCTGAAATTGACAGGCCAGGGAGGGTTTGTGTCCTGAGGGTGACGTTTTTTAAGAGGGGAGAACTTTTTGGTCAGACAGGTTAAATCGCTGGTGGCCAGATAGCTCACTTGGTACAGCACAGTAGTGAAACCGAATAAATAAATGGGATTATACTTACTAGTCTCCATCTGTTCCTGAAAAAGCAAATAGATTATAAGAAATGTACAATATACGATATGTATGTATGGACATATTCACGTATAAATCAAAATCGTTGTAAAAAAAATGTAGGAACTTAACTGAAGATAGGTCCAAAAATAGCTCCTTTTATACAGAACGTTAACCTTATTGCACCTCAGTTTGTGAAAAAAGGTTAAATGGCAAGAAATTTGACTGAGATAGCAATATCAGTACACCACAACTTTCTTTCGATAGTTCAAGTAAAATTGGGGGGAAAATATTACCAGTCTCAGGAGAACTCATTTTGACCATTTTCTGAAGGTATGCATGATGCCTGTAAATAAGAACTCAGAATTTCAGAGCAGCTAGAATTGATATTTTAAAATTTTATTTATCTTAGGCTGCTTCAAAAATCAAAGCCATAGAATAACACACTTCAAACTGCAATATGAATCAAAATTTGATGATGTTTTCTCACCTTGTATCCTCTTTCATTAAAGCTGTAAATAATAGTACACAAAGACTTATAGTAAATAATTAAAACTGGGATTATATAAAACTGCACTCGATACCACAATTCAACAATTAAAAAAATGTTTGAAAGATACCTCTTTTCCTTTTCCGATTCCTTCCAAAAATCGTGATGATGACCACGATTCCAACCACTGAGCTGATGAACAGCGACAATGACACATAAAAGAAGGGTGGTAATCTATTATGTTCTTGTAGTGGCTCTGTCAAATTAAATACTAGATTGAAAAAAAAACAACAGAGTAACAAAGAGAAAATGCATTGCCACTTTATAACCAGTTGTGCACCCCACCCACAAGAACCACTGACCCTGGTGCCACATACATCAAAATTTTGGAAATTTTATAAATTTTTAGAGCCCCGCCCTAACACCAGAACCCCTGACTCAGGAGCCCTGAAATTCACAAATTTGGAAGAGGCATCCTTCCTCATCATAACAATGCATGTACATATAATTCATTGCTTTAATATCCACGAGTAGTAGAGAAGATTTTTAAAGAATTAATACATTTCACTAAATACTAGTAATCTATATAGCCCCGCCCTAGCACTGGAACCTCTGAGCCTGGGGTCATGAAATTCATATCACAAATATGGAAGAGGCGTTCTTGCTCATTATAACTTTTGTGCTTAGTTAGGTATGTTTTTTTAAATACCTAGGAGCAAAGGAGAATATTTTTTAAAGAATTACATTGTAATGTACAAGTATTTTCACTATATACTAGTATTTAAATCTATTTAGCCTCGCCCTAACACCAGAACCCCCGGCCCAGGGGCCATAAAATTCTCCATTTTGAAAGAGGCATTCTTGCTCATTATAACTTTGTGCTTAATTAGTTTTTTTGATACCGAGGAGCAGAGAAAATTTTCAAAGAAATAATGCATTTTCACTATATATTCAATAGAACCCCATCAGAACCCCTGACCTAGGGCCATGAAATTTACAATTTTGGAAGAGACAATTTTGCTCCAAATAAATATGTACTTGGTTAGATTTTTTAGGTCACCTGAGTAAACTCAGGTGACCTTGGGTCAGGAATTCTGGTGTTAGGGTGGGGCTCTATTGATTATATAGTGAAAATGCATTAAATCTTTGAAAATCTTCTTCTCTGCTCCTGGGTATTAAATAAACTAACTAAATACATAGTTATGATGAGCATGAGTGCCTCTTCCAAAATTGTGAATTTCATGACCCCAGGGTCAGGGGTTCTGGTGTTAAGGCGGGGCTCTATTGATTATATAGTGAAAATGCATTTATTCTTTGATGTGCAAGGGCTTTTCTTCCAGAATTGTGAATTTCAAGGCCCCTGGGTCAGGGATACCAAAGAGGGGGGGGGGCTCTACTTATATACTAAAAATGAATTGTTTGAAATCTGCTCCTTGGTATTAATCAAACATTTTTGATAAGCAAGTGTGCATTTCAAAAATTGTGCAATGTGTAGACCTAGGGTCAGGGGTTCATTTGTGGTAGGGGCACTCACGATTATTGCTGAATATTACTGATTAGTTGACATGCATTTTTGTTCCCTTACCCTGCTTATGGGTATTAAGTATACAAACTAAACATTTGCTAAGTGTATAGTTATTATTAGCAATGGTGCATCTTTCAAAATTGTGAATGCCAATGCATCTAGCTTATATCATGAACCAAGCTCAAACATTGGAAAGTTGTTGCTTGGTGCTCAGGTGACCTATAAGATCCATGGTCCTCTTGTTAATACCCAGGAGCAGAGAAAAAGAATTTCAAAGAATTTATGCATTTTCAATATATAATCAACAGAGGCTTGCCTAAAACCCTAAAAATGTTCAAATGTTAAAACATGACGAACGACGCACGACGAGGGACGAAAAGAGATAACAATAGGCCACCTGAGTTTACTTAGAAGAATATATAGGCAAACTCGATCTAGGACCAACTGTTTAATAAATATATGGATAAGGTTAAAGATTTTGAAAATTATGTTAAATTTGAAAGTCAAATAATGATGTCCAAAATACAAGTTAATAGCTTTGGTGTCTAAAACCAGTTGTGATCTACAGTTTATCGACCAACTGATAGAAATACAAAAAAATTAGTCTGTTGTCCAGATTCTAAAAAAAAGCAAATAATTATATAACTAAACAAGCAAAAAATAAGAAAGAAAAAAACTTGAAAATCCAATATGCCCGATGCCCGTGTGGTATGAAATGAACCCACCTGAATAAATTGATATATGTGCCATTGCACTTCCGGTGCCACACCTTGTCTTGTATCCAGACTCACAGATAAATTCCGTTTTTCCATCAACTATTTCAATAGTATAGATTATCGTGGCTTCTCTGCATTTTATAACACGTCTTTGATGTTATGTTCGTTATACTGACGTTTGAGAAATAAGGATTGAAATAAGCGTGTCTTCCAACTTTCAAACACCAGCGTATATCCTATAACGAAGAAGACCTCTATAGACTTGTACCCTTCTGACTAAATAGGATACTACAGCTTAAAAGTTAATCAAAAGTACCAGAGTCTCTACTTATGCCTGTATTTAGTGACAATATAAAAACAATTAAAAAAAAAAACAAATTTATGGAAGGAAAGTTTAATATATCTAAATAAATATATTCAAAACTGTTTTTTTTTATTTCTTTGTTTTGAACATTTTTAAGGCATGGAAAGATTGATTTATTGTATATTGTTTAACGTCCCTCTCGAGAAGTTTTCACTCATATAAAGACGCCACCACTTACCGATGGAGAGCTGCAAATTTTGTCCTATACTTGGCACTTATAGCCATTAAGCAGGGAGAGATCTTTTTCGTGTCAGCACCTACTGCGACACGGGACCTCGGTTTATACTTTCTCATCCGAAGGACCGGTCTCCACGTCTCGCATTGGGATTCGAATCCGCGACGTAAGGGTTGACTCCTTAATTACTTCGCGATTCTAGAGCCGACGCTCTAACCACTGTGCCACGTAGGCGACTTAAAGGTGTGAAAAGAACTGTTATGGAAAGAACTGTTGCAATAGTTACAGCATCTTCGCTAGGCAAGGGTTTCAGATACAAAATCTCCATTACAAGGAGTAGATTTTGGATCGGAAACCCTTGGCTAGCGAAGAAATGCAGTGCTGACAGTGCATTATTGCAACCACTATTGATATAACATCAAATATTGAAAAAAAGTAATTCAATATTGGTCGAGAAAACACTTCAAAACAAATACCAGGTTGCAACCCCTATTAAAATAACGTTCACTTCTGAAATTATTATTCTAATAGTAATTACTAGTATTATAATGTAATAATGCAGTTCAATACCAAAAACAAGACTACGACCACTTTTGAAATAAGGATAACCATATAAATTAATTTGTTCATTATATTTTTCAACTTATTAAGAAATAAATTAATTTTGTTAAAGATATGATAGGTAACTGTTTTTTCATAGAATACTATTAATACATTGATATCTTCAATCAAAGACTGATCAATACATGTAGAGCTCTATGACTTTCTGATGAGAATATGGTTATGTTTGATCACCGTACATTTAACAGACAAAATGTATCATTCTATTTTTCACTTTATATCAACATTGCCTACACCAATCGTTGTTGAAAATAAAAATGAGTTCTCCGTTATATACTATAGTATTCATTTCAATAGTGAGTATCGTGGCTTAATTGAAATAACAACTATTGAAATAAATATTTCTATAGTAGAGACAATGTAGTGGTCATATTGAATTGTATTATCAACTTGCATTGAAATAATTATTACAAAGTGGTCTGTATTTAAATAGTGGTTACTGTATCTTACTATGTAGTGTAGTTTTTGAAGTGCACTCTCAACCTCTGCTGAAATGATTGTTTCAATAGTGGTCGTTATTTCGATAGGGGTTGCAATAACTGTTATCATTTTAGAATGATATTCAGGTAAATCATCTAAAGATCATTGTTCTCAATAAAACCATATTTTCTACGCACAGATATGTGCATATGACAAACAATGTCATAATGACATACTTTTGCAATAAAGTATACTAATCCAATATTTTAAGAAGTAGTTTAAACACCTAAAGCGGCGGTGAAAGCCTTTGCTATAGTGTTGCGAAGTAAGGAGATGACCCTTGCATCGCGGGTTCGAATCCCACTGTGGGACGTGGAGACTGGTCCTTCGGATGAGATCATATAGAATAGATTTTATTTCCAATCATGGTCCCACTGGGGGCATAACACAGATACAAGTATATCGTTACATAAAATAGACAATGTACATAATGAAACATTAAACCAATTTACCCATGGTGGTATGCAAATATTGTAAATGCAATATAGTAATATTCAAAAATCATATACAATATTTTGATATGAATTGATTTTATAATCTTAAGATTTACTCATTTTCATTTGTAAAAAGCCATGTTAACTTTTCATTATTGAACATAATAAAAAGATAACAATATTAACATGATGGTGTGCAAATATTGTAAATGTATTAAAAGATAAGGTCTATTAATGGTTGCCAGTCTACAAAAGACATCAAGGGACGGTGCTTCAGGAATGCACAATTTCTAGTCTAAAATTAATGAAAGGTTGCATTCCTCTTCATGTCTAATGTAGATAGGCAAAAATAGCTCAATTATAATTTATAAAAAGTAACAATGTAGTAATGTTCAAACATCATATACAATATTTTAATATGAATTGACTTAGTTATCTTAAGACTGATTCATTTTCACTTGTAAAAAGCCATATTAGCTTCTCATTAATGAGTATAATAAAAAGATGAAACCAATTTCAGCATGGTGGTGTGCAAATATTGTAAAAATATTATAAGATGAAGGTCTATTAATGGTTGCCGGTCTACAAAAGACACCAAGGGACGGTGCTTCAGGAAATGCATGAATTCTAGTAAAATATCTAAAATGAATAAAAGGTTGCATTCCTCCTCATGTCTTATGTAGATAGGCAAAAAGAGCACAATTATAAATTACAAAAATTAACAATGTAGTAATGTTCAAACATCATATACAATATTTTGATATGAATTGACTTAGTAATCATAAACCGAGGTTCCTTGTCGCAGTAGGTGCTGGGCACGAAAAAGATCCCTCCCTGCTCAATGGCAATGCGTGCGGAGTATAGGACAACATTTGCAGCTCTCCACCGCCAGGTGGTGTCGTCTCCATATGGGTGAAAAATTCTCAAGAGAGAGGTTAAACAATATAGAATCAATCAACAAAATAACTAAGAATTATTTTTGTATTTGATTGACAATTGCAAAGTTTGTGAAGGTATTGGAAATTCGCTTTCTATTTTTTTCCCAATGACAATCAAAATATATGGTTTAGAAATATAGGTTTGTCATTGATCTCCGTTTTGCATAACTTTGAACATTTTCATTTTTTTTTACTTGTATTATACAATTTCAATACTCCACGAGAGTTTTTTATGTTCGAAATGTGAGTAAAAAGTATACCTGCATTCTCGAGTTCTCGTACGTTACATCACCTTCACAGGTCAGTTCAACACTTGTGCCAACGACCAATGAAATATTGCTAGATCTTCTCTGACCGTTGATGTTAACATGAATGTCACTCATATAAGCAGGTAATTCTGTAATTTCATACCATAGTCATAAAGAAATGAACTTTATCATTGTTAATTGGATAGAATGTTATGATTGCTTCCTTTTTCTCATTTCTAGCATGAACACTCAATTCTCGAGACAAAAATAGTTATGAAATGTTGATGCCAGCTGCTCGTAAGCATTTTTTGTCCTTTCATTCTAGTTTTACACACTATACAAGGTTTCTGAAGTTTTCAAACAATAATAACAAGAAAATATTGATATAACCATCAATTGTCGCCCGGGAAATAAATAAAGTAAACAATGGAAATGAGTCTTGATCATCAAACCGCATCGATGTATGTGAAAATGGCATGTGTCTAAATGATGGAGACGATAGTTGAAAATATTTTGAAAACTTATAGTCAGATGAAAATCGAACAAGAACGATACCCTTTTAAACTTTATCAATTCGTCAAGTAAATGTTAGCTGTATAAAATATAAACTTAAACCAGGCACATGCATCACCTATTTTCAAAAATGTATTTCACTTTAAGGATATAAAATATGAACTGTGTCAGGTACGTTTTTATGCGATAAGTAAAATTCGATGTTCTAAAAAAGGACCTGTCGTTTTATCGATGGCAAATAATAAGCAGCATTATATATTGAATTTGAAAAACATATATATTTTTGCAGATTCACTTTATGGAAGTAAATATATTACGTATCTCTTAATTATTAAGGGAAAGAACATTCTGATTAACAATATTTTTAATGTTCAGAAAACCTCTAGTTCTGAATAACTTCTCCCACCTCAACCCCTATACACAAACACTTAAACTTATAAGCATATATAGAGCAGCCCGGTCCTCCGGGCTGCAATAACAATAGACTCATGATATAGTCCATAACGCCCATCTGAATCAGTAATGGCAGTAATTCATTTGTATGTAAAACCTTGATGATTGTTGCCCCATCCTACCCCTTGTTTGTAATATGGACGTTTGTAAGAGTAACCTACCCAAGGATATTCCCATTTCAATATGACATAAGTCAAGCCTTTCATATTCTTGGGATGGTTTCCTCCTACATATTGACACGTTTAATTTTGATCATCAATTGGTCGATATCTCATTGTTATCCCAACTTACCCATATATAGTCACTCAACTATTTTGCCGTTGAACTTAGATTAGAAATAAAGTCTTCCTAGGTGAATGCTATAATCAAAGGCAAGGGAAGTCCACACGTGTGGGGATAGGAAAATGGAATCTGTTTATAATTTTCTGATTTGAAAAGTTTTGAAAATTAGTTAACAACTCACTGGATACTCCTTCCCACATTTTAATACTTGTTGAATATATTTTTCCTCAAGTGTTTTGTCATTTTAATATTTTGTTTGCTCATCTGATAGAAGCTTTGTTATAAGAGAAAGTAACATCAGTTCCCATTCGTATATTTTCTACATCTGACAGTGTAGAAAATACACGATCACGAGTATGACTTCTTTCCTAAAATTTTTTCCATTCTTATCATTAAAATATCATGAATGAATGGCATTGTGAATGTATCAGAGAAATGTATCTGAGATTTTTGAAATTTAAAAACACACGCATACTCAAAATGAAAAGTAAAACTAATGCTAGTTTACCATCGTACTGAATATGAAGCAGTTTACTTTCATCGTTGATTGGAGCAGAAGACTTGTCAATGCCAACACATCTACAAAAATACTCTATCAGATCGTCAGGACATATTATATTGTGCTCTGAAATTGATAATTCCAAAAATGCTACTGCTGGGATAGAAGTGTTTCCTGCGACATGAATGTAGTCTTTGCCTTTCCACAACTTTCCCCTGTTTTCAATGGTAACGATTGCTTTATCTCCACGAGGAAATCGCTGCATTATTTTCATGGAGGTAACTGCTCTAAATTTACCAGCATTAATAATATTGCATTTGACATGGATCCTTTTCCGTTCTTGACCTCGCCATTCGTAATACCCTATAATGTCTACATATGAATCTGTAAGATTTCGAAAATAAACTTAAAATTATATATGTATGTGAAATGAACTTTTGTAACACTGTTTATATTTTTAAAAAACAAAATGAAGAACCTGTACAGGTTTGTTGGGTGTATCAATACATTCCAAAAAGATCACAATATATTAACTGCAAGCGCTTTAGCCAATTGTTCTATCTTCTATTTTAGTACAAGTAACTTATTTAAAGTTTATGTGACATTCGACAAAATATTTTGTGAAATCAGGCCACTAGCTGTTATCAGTTGCAAGCTAGCGACCTGATTTCAATTGACTGTCTGATAAACGCTATATACTTTGCACCCAAAACTAAAATCAATAGATAAAGCATAAAGCTCAAAGGTCCATTCAAAACATACAAACGTACATGTATATATAATATAATTATGTTTGAATAGACATTTGAGCTTTAATTTTACTATTCGTTATCTCTATAGCTAGACTTCGAATGCTAATATATATCTCTATAGCTAGACTTTAAATGTTCTATTTGAGTAAAAATAGCTTTTATATGACAGTCAACAAAATATATTATTTTAATAGTAACGTGATCCTAAGACACTATGGTGCGTAAAATTATCAGAAAATTTCCATCAAGCATTTTATTAGAGGTGATGATGATCTTATAAAATGTTTAACAATGGTTGGTGAACCGTAAAATCAACGAAAGGACTGATCTCTGATCTTTTCATCTAAAGAAGGCTTACAGGAAACTTTCTCCATCAGAAAATACCACAGATGAACCATTTGGCTCACACATAATGGGCATGCTTCCATATGCGCCGACTATGGAGCAGAATGCTTAAGAGTACTTGTACGTATATAGTTTCTGCGTACATGTAACTTGATGTAAGTGCATTAATATACCGAGATACGCTTACCTTAGAATATAATTTACACAATATCAACAAACAATGTATACTAATCTAAGTATCGATTATCAAATATCTGGTTATGCAGAGGTAAGCTTTTTGAAAATTCATATAATGCAGATATCTTTTAAAAATACATTGATTAATAAAAAAATAAAGAGAGAGAGAGAGAGAGAGAGAGAGAGAGAGAGAGAGAGAGAGAGAGAGAGAGAGAGAGAGAGAGAGAGAGAGAGAGAGAGAGAGATTTAACAAAAAAAAGAAACGAAAAGTAAACGTGTATGTAGTATAATTTTGGAAAAATGCAGACAGAACTTGATTTGACAGTGATCAATTTTAAAAATCCATAAAAAACCCAAACAAATGGACCATTGGAAACACTAGATATTGGATCAGAAGTAAGCATCCTCCCATCGACCTGTCACATTCACTATGATCCCCTTAATTGATCAGGAAAACGGAGTATCCGTGAACAAAACCAGAATGAAAACAATATTAGTTGTTTACGAAAGCCCAGAAGGCTCATTCGAGATTCAAGTTTCGAAATACGAGATTCAAAATTCGAGATTCGAAATTCGAGTTTCGAGATTCAAGATCCAGATTAACCAATCAAAAGGCTCATTCGAGATTCGAGGTTCGAAATACGAGATTCGAAATTCGAGTTTCGAGATTCAAAATCCCGATTAACCAATCAAATGCGGGTTCAACATTTGATTACTCCCCTTTATTATGTTTTATCTATCAATAAATCGTTTAATATATTTATAACAAATGAGTCATTTGATTAAATTACAATGCAAGAAAGAGTGTTATATATATTAAAAGGAAATTTGAATAATCGTTGGATTTTTTATCAGCAAGATATACTTCAATTTATATTATGACCTCTTAAATATTAAATAGAATACATATACACATGTATCAGGAATATATATATATATTGCATTATCTACTTTATATAAAGGGTTGTTGACATACTAATAAAGTTATAGATAGTGACTAAAGATTAACAAAATCCCCACCCCTACCCGCCACACCTGCCAATTTTTCCCGACACTGAAAACGTTACTTTAAAAACTTGAAAGGCAATGTAGCCTTGATAAATAAAAACCGTGTTCGTTTTCCTAATAGAGGTAAAAATAAACTTTTCAATTACTTATCTTCATCTAAGGCTTTGATTTCTTGAATTAATTAACAATTATATATACAATCCAGATTGCAAATATGAATTAGAATAAATGCAGCCTTTATTTTATCTGATATCAAACAGTAGATTAGTCTAAATTAGCTGCTGAACTATAGCGTTATGGTTTTATATTTAAGTCTCTGACCATAGCGTTATGGTCAAAGATTAAAATATACTCGGTTTTTATTTATCAAGGCTACATTGCCTTTCAAGTTTTAAAGTAACATTTTCAGTGTCGGGAAAAATTGGCAGGTGTGGCGGGTAGGGGTGGGGATTTTGTTAATCTTTAGTCACTATTTATAACTTTATTATTATGCCAACAACCCCCTTTACATAAAGTAGACAATGCAAAAAATATATATATTCCTGATAATTGTGTTCTATTTAATATTTAAGAAGTCATAATATAAATTGAAGTATATCTTGCTGATAAAAATCCAATGATTATTCAAATTTCCTTCTAATATATATATAACACTCTTTCTTGCATTGTAATTTAATCAAATGACTCATTTGTTATAAATATATTAAACGATTTATTGATAGATAAAACATAATAAAGGGGAGTAATCAAATGTTGAACCCGTATTTAATTGGTTAATCGAGATTTTGAATCTCGAAACTCGAATTTCGAATCTCGTATTTCGAATCTCGAATGAGCCTTTTGATTGGTTAATCTGGATCTTGAATCTCGAAACTCGAATTTCGAATCTCGAATTTTGAATCTCGTATTTCGAAACTTGAATCTCGAATGAGCCTTCTGGGCTTTCGTAGTTGTTAGTTTACCGTCAACATTCATATTTAGTAAATATTACACAAAGTACTAAACACTCTATTTAACAATGGTGGTAGAAAGGTAGTTAAATTATGTTAAGGAATGGTGGTCAAAATGAGATAAAGTAAGCAAAAAAGATATTTGAATAAGACATCAATTACCT